AAAAGGTCAGTTAATCCTTTGTTCGGCGCTTCACTTTTTCACTGCAGGCAGAGGGAGCCTTCGGACGCTTGTTTGAGCCTCCGAAATAAAGACATTTGCAAGATCAGATCTGATCTCTTCATTTAGTCTCAGCAAACTTACATCTCACTGTTTGTTAAAGTTTCCACAACAATTTCTGGCGTTGTCGGCACGATTCGGCGTTTTCCGAAGGCGTGGGGAATGCCAAGTCCCTGGCCTGGCTGTTAGCAGTCCTCCGTTGACGGAGGAACTTGGGGTTCCTCCTCGCTCAAAGGACCACACGGATCCAATGAACCTGTCGCACACCCGTCAATCGGACGAGGCCATATCCGGTGAGAATAAGTTTGCCTTTTGATAACACTGTGGTCTGTCTGAAGCAGATGGTCTGTGAGGGGGAGAATCAGATTGAAAGGCAATAGTGGTTTTCCTATTTTCCACTAGGTAAAAAGAAAGTAGCAGAAAAGTTAGACCAGAGGGTCAGACTAATTAGTGTTTTTGTTGCTTTACACTAGGTAAACAGAAGTAACAAGGTTAAATAGTGTTTTTTCTATTCCTTATACTCTAAAGGAAGGAAACTAAGCAAAGGACGCTTTGCTTGAAAAAATGGGGGCCAGACCCAGCCGAAACTCTGATGCACCTCCTGACAGCCCCACCTGTAAAGATATATCACGAAAATATGGACCAGACAGTTTAAATTGTGTGAATGAGTGGGTTAAAGAGCATGGTTTTCCTGAGGGAGGGAGCCTGAGCGTAAATCAAATTAAAAAACTTTCACAGAGCGTGAAGAGGAAGTAGGCAGAAAAGACTGAGAATAAGAAAAGTGTTAAGGTCAAACATCTGGAAGCCATTAAGACTCACAGAAGATGCTTGCATCTCTGGAAAACCAAAGCAGAAAAAAGAGGAAAAAAGGTTGTAATGAAGGAACTAGGAGGTTGTCAAGACACAGAAAAGGTTGTGGCAGGTCGAACTGATAATGCTTCTGTAGGTAAAGAGGGAAAAGAGATGAGAGGTGTTCCACCCCCATACACAGGGGATATTTCACCTTCTTTCCATGTTCGTCATCTCTATCCAAATTTACAGGCGTTGGTGCTGACTGAACCAGATTTAGATTCCTGCCCCCCAGTCCGATCCAAAATGGCCATTGCATCCAGCAGCACGGAGGGAACAGCCTCTCCCCATCCTGATTTAACGTCTGATGGACCCACAGGAGTGGTCACTCGCAGTGTCACCAAGGTCAGAAAGATGAGTACCCTAGCAGCAGCACCTCCTGTCACATATGGGAGCCGAAGGCGCAGCCCTGGTCTACAGACAATGGACGGGTGAAGACGTCAAAAATGCTGCAGATTTACTGCCAGATCCCGAGGGGGACGGGGAGAAATTCATCATGGAGCTTCAGGCTTTCTGCCGAGAGATGTGTCCCACTGGTGCAGAAGTACGCCGCATCCTGGCCAAAAAGATAAAAGCCTGTGACCTGGCTGCGGTGAGTCCTCTCCCAGAACCCCACCTTCGCCTCACAAACCTTGATTGCAACCACATAGGCAATGTGCAATACAAAGATGTTATAAATGGCCTGTGTGACAGAATAAAAACCAAGTTTCCAATGAAGATGGACACTACCGCCTTAAAAGCAGTCACACAGAGACCCACTGAGACGGTTGATGACTTTATGCACCGTTTAGAAGATGTTTTTAATAAGCACTCCGGTCTCAAACGTCCCGAGGGAGCCACGGGCCCCACAGCAGATGCTTGGGAGAGACTTCTCTGTAGCTACATCATGGATGGGCTGAAGCCAGAAACTGTTGCTCAAACAAGTCGCTCCTATGTTGACATGAAACAGGAGACGCGCCTGAATGAGCTGAAACGTCACATCAGACATGCTCAGGAAGATATCCAGGACCAGAGCCAGAAGAAGACAGCTAAGAGAGAAGCTGAGCTGCACAAAGCTACTCTCACCATGTTTTCAGCTGTGTCTGCTCAGAATAAGGAATCTGGAACCCCTCCACGCTACAACAGAGGGGGGAGAGGCAGCCTCAGGGGCAGAAGAAGAGGAAGTGGACGTCCATGGCAGAATAGACGAGAGGAAGCGTCACAACTGCGGCCAGATGGGCCACTGGAAAAACGAGTGTCCAAACCCATCAAGAGAAGGATCTCTGGGGCACCATCAAGGGGACTGACCGGGGGTGAGGACCCTGGGTGCAGGCCAGCAGGATTCTTCCACCAGCACGCCTGAAAAGGGAGGTGAAATGTCTCACACACACACACTGCTACACCCTGCTGATTCTGTAAAGGTGCCATTTGCTACTGATCCACAAACACGACTGTGTAACCAGCCAGCACTCAGAAACACTCCAGCATAGACACAAACAAACTCTGCACTCGGGTTGGGTGGAACGTATGCCCATCTGCAATCTTTAGCGTACAAACAGCTGCCAATGTTAACTTTAAAAATACAGAACGCAGACATCCCCTTTATGGTGGATTCTGGGGCGACTCAGTCTATAATTAGAGAAAAAAGTTTTCCTGCCCCTCCACAACTAACTGGCCGCTACGTTTTCTCAATCTCAGCATCCGGTACCACAGTGAAGGAAAATTTCTCTTCACCCCTGCTGTGTTACACACAGGGAGGTCATGAATTTATGCACTCGTTTCTGGTGTCTAAAATGTGTCCTATACATTTACTGGGCAGAGATTTAATGTGTAAACTAAACATAAATCTCGAGTCATGTCCATCAGGCCTGAAAATTTCTGTCTCCATCAGGGGGCAGTGATTCACCTCATTTCACTGGAGTTTGTGTCCCACCACACCAATGATCCATCCTCAGCGGATATTGTAAATCACGCAGGACAGCGTGTAGACAAATTCTCTGTTTTCATGCCTCCTGCTGATTTACACTGTACAGCTTATATTCACAAAAACACGGACTCAGATTTTGAAAAAGAGTGGCATAAAAATGTTTCTGATACATTAACCACTACAACTTTGTTCTGGAGCAAACATGTGTCTGCTCTGTCAGTCACTTTAACTCCAGAACAGCTGAAATGTTTTTGGATGCAGGATTCTGTCCCACACATATCTCTGTCTAAATCATCACAGATGGCTTGGAAAGATGTGGGAAAATTTGTAAAAAAAAAACTGTCTCAATGTTGATGATTGGAAAACTAACTCACACGGCTGTGTGCTGTGGTCCCAATCCGCGCAAGCTTTCAAGGAAAATTTACGAGCATGGAGTCATTGTGCCATGCCCCAATTCGCCTGTTCGTACACCGCTGTTTCCTGTTAAAAAGATCAGAGATAAGAATCAACCTGTCAAGCGGTGGTTAGTTCAGAATCTGCAGGCTGTAAACAAAGCTGTAGTTCCTAGAGCTGCCTCTGTGCCAAACCCCCACACAGTATTGTCTCAGATTCCTAACACATCAAGATATTTTTCAGTTGTTGACCTGTCTAACGCCTTTTATTCGGTAAGGGTTCACAAGGACAGGCAGTTCTGGTTTGCGTTTGAATTTGATGGAAAACCATATACAGGTCCTTCTCAAAAAATTAGCATATTGTGATAAAGGTCATTATTTTCCATAATGTAAAGATAAAAATGAAACTTTCATATATTTCAGATTCATTGCACACCAACTGAAATATTTCAGGTCTTTAATTGTTTTAATACTGATGATTATGGCATAGGAAATATAAACATAGGAAATTTCTAAAATCAGACAATACTATACTCATAGTATAGCCAATACTCAATGCACCACAAGTCGATGATCTACTCAAAGCTATTTTGCTGCCAAGAGAAATTGCTGTGATTAAATGTGTGGCCCACAGAGCCGCTGACCCTGTCGCTGCAGGAAATGCTCGAGCAGATTCTGCTGCAAAAGCTGCTTCGACACAGCCATTTGCAGCATTATTTTCAGCCCCTGTAAAGCCTGCCCAGCTGCCACCATGGTTGTGTGAGGTGCAGTCATTTGCAACATCTGATGAAAAAGCCTTGTGGGCTCACTGTGGATGCACCTCAACACCTGATGGGTGGTTTTCAGCTAAATGTAAACCCCGTCTTCCCAAACATTTCCACCCCTGGTTTGCCAAATTTAACCACAGGATTGATCACGTGTCTAAGGGAGGAATTATGTCTTTGGTGAGTCAATTTTGGTTTACTAAAGGCTTTACACTGACAGCTGAAAATTACTGCAAAAAAGGTTTGGTCTGTGCTTCTAATTACATTGCTAGACCTCTCCATGTCCAGAAGGGGGCGCACCCGCAACCAGAACAGCCATTTGATGGCCTCATGATGGATTTCATAGAGTTAACTCCATCAGAAGGAAAACAATATTGTTTAGTTATAGTTGACATGTTTTCAAAGTGGGTTGAAGCTTTTCCAGCAAAACATGCTGATAGCAGTGGCAAAAGCACTGCTAGCTGAAATCATCCCGAGATACCATACCACTTTATTTATAAAGCACTTAAAACAGCTACAAGGCCAACCAAAGTGCTGTACAGACAAAACAACAGGTAACACACAAAGCAAAATACAAAATGAGGTAAATCAGAATATAGACACATGGGGATGGGGAATCCCACTTAAAATCACAAGTGATAATGGGACTCATTTTGTGAACAAAGCACTGAAATCGCAGGAGTCCTACGGTTTGACCTGCGAACACAATGTGCCTACCACCCTCAGTCGGGGGGGCAGTAGAAATAGAAAATGTGACACTGAAAAATAAACTTGTTAAATGTTGTGAGGAAACGGGTCTCCCCTGGACAAAAGTGCTGCCTTTGGCGCTAATGTACATGCGAGTTAGGAGGAGAGCAAAATGTAATTTGAGTCCCTTTGAAATTTTGTTTGGTAGGCCTGCACCAACAGGAGGGGAGCCACAAAAAGTGGCATCCCTCCCAACACACCTGATGGAACATGAAATGATTACTTATTGTCAAAATCTCTCCAAACATCTGTTGCAGAATCACCAGTCAGTGAAGGTAGCACTGCCTAGTCCGGCTGCACAATCTTAAACCAGGTGACTGGGTCCTCGTGAAGGAGTTGAGAAGGAAACATTGGAGGTCCAAACGGTGGCTGGGTCCATTCCAAATCCTGCTCGTCACTCACACGGCTGTGAAGGTCGCTGAGAGGGCATCCTGGATCCACGCCAGCCACTGCAAGAGGTTCACCCCAGCTCCGCCTCTGGAAGGACGATCTGAACCTCCTGAAGGGGAGTTTCCACCTTCTGCACACCTGTCATGGTGACAGGGCAGTTGGACCTCCTGAGAAGGAGCTTCCACCTCTCAACACCTGCAATATAACTAGTGAGTGCTTGTTGTGACCACAGGACGAGACACACTGAGATGAGGCTACGAAGCTTCAAACCCTCATACCAACCCATGGGGGTGAGACGAGACCCTGCTGAAATGCACCTCTATGGAAACTGGAGGGTGATGTGGGCACTGATAGGATTGTCCCTGCTGATACCAATCCCCATCCTTATCCATGAGGCCTTAACTCGATCCCATATGTCTTGAAATTCCACTACGGCCACCGTCTCCCCCACTCTGATAAAACCCAGGGTCCACCATGAACTCGAACCGTATGAAATCACTCACCACTCCCCAGAAGAAAGCAACGCCTGGTGGGTGGTCTCCAGACACCTAGCAAGGAAAGTCACCAATGAAAGCTGTTATGTGTGTTCTCTGATTCCTCATGCTACAGCTCTGAAGAATAAGAAAATCTGACTTCTCTAGTGGACCAGGGTTTCACAACCCTGACAGCTGAAGGACAGGCCCTACGCACGATGACGTTACAGAATCGTGTGGCGTTGGACTTCCTCCTTGCAGCAGAAGGTGGAGTTTGTGCAGCAATAGGAGAAGAGTGTTGTACTTTTATTCCTGATCCTAGTTCAAACATGACAGCTTTTCACACAAAAACTTCTGCCCTGGCTGATAGACAGCGAAGGGAGAATTCTGGTTCCTGGAGCATCTGGAGTTTTGATTGGCTCTCAGGGAACGGGTGGAAGGCTTGGTTTATGAAGATAGGTGCCTTTTTGTTGCTTGTTGTGGTAGTATTGATGGTCATTTCTTGTTGCATTGTACCACTAGTTAAATCTTTGGTCTCCCGTATGTTTTCAAGCACACTTCTGTCTCTCAGTCTGCCAAAAGAATACATCGCTCTCCTTTCTGATCCAGGAAAACGAGACATTTTTGATGACCTTGAAGATGGTGAAAAGTATGATGACGTTGATGTAGACACAAAAGATGAATGAATAAGGTGTTATTGTGTTTGATCTAATGTTTATGATGCATCTGTTGTAAATCATGAGCGAGCAGATGTTGATTTTTATTGCTTAGACCTGATTATGTTCTATAAAAGTTTTGAATCTGTAACCACACATTTTGTTGTAACCTGTGTATTTCACTTGAGTGTATTCTGAAAATGTTTGATGTTTAGCATCACAGGGAGGAATGTGATAGAAAGTAAAATGTATTTACTTCACTAAGCAAACTTTTATAGTCACATTAGTAAATGAAGGGTTCACTGGAAGCTCAGGCTGATAAGTTTCTTCATCACGAATCTCCTGTACTCCTTAAAAGTACTGACTGACCGTAGGTATCTCATATCCTTCATCCTCCCTGTTCATTAAAATAATGATGACTTGGCTGTTTTCCAGGTTTAAACCTTAGATCTCAGGCTGCATCTTATCTGAAGAAAACCTCCTGTTTTATTAGAACCCCTGTACTAGGAAATGTGTATGTGTAACTGAAAGGTCTATAAGAGGTCAGTTAATCCTTTGCTCGGGGCTTCACTTTGCAATGCAGGCAGAGGGAGCCTTCGGACGCTTGTTTGAGCCTCCAAAATAAAGACATTTGCAAGATCAGATCTGATCTCTTCATTTAGTCTCAGCAAACTTACATCTCACTGTTCGTTAAAGTTTCCATGACAGCCCCCTCACTGTTCATTTTTAAAACCCGCCTGAAAACTCATCTCTACTCACTGGCCTTCAACCCAACTGAGACTGGATTTTATCGATTTAACTCGTCGTTTTATTATGTTTTAAATTGAGTTTTTAGTTCGCTGTGTGCTTGGCTTTGTAGCTTTGTTTTTATGCTCTCTTTTCATGTTTGTAACTGATGTTCAGCACTTTGTTTCAGCTGTGGCCGTGTTAAAGCACTTTATAAATAAAGTTGATGATGATAAAACATTCGTCTTTAAGACAAATGTTTTGTTTATGTTGTTTGAAGATGTTGTCGGTTTAAAACAGGTCTCTCTTGAAAATGAGTCCCCATGACTCAATGAGACTAACTTGGATAAATAAAGGTTGAATGAATGGATGAAAGACAGAACATTTCAACAAAACGAAACCATCCAGAGGACCTGACTTAACTTGGTTGGATTTTTCTACCTGGATTATTGAGCATGAATCAGCATGTTTTGAACATCTTTGGCCATGACTGCCTCAAACGAGTCGGCGTGGGAGAGGACGGACTTCAGAAACCATCTTAGCACCATCAAGCTGGTTGACCCACTACGTAAAGGTGCTTTTTATAAGACTGAGTTTGTTGTGGCTCCTCGGACTGATGAAGTCTTTTGGATGAAAGACGAAATGTTTCAATGAGAAGACTCCATCCAGAGGACCTGACTTAACTTTCTGCTTGAAGAATCAGTTGATGAAAATTTGGTGACATCTTGTGACCAATCCGTACAGCAATGGCATGAAGCAACGGTTTCCTCAAGAAACACCGGGACTGCCAGATGGCCTGTCATTTAAAAAGTATGATTTGATCTCAAAGGGCAGCACGGTGGCACAACTAGCTGCTGCCTCTCAGCGAGAAGGTTGTCGGTTCAAATCCTGGTCCGGGGGGCCTTTCTGGGTGGAATTTGCACGCTCTCTCCGTGCATGCGTGGGTTTTCTCCGGGTACTCCAGTTTCCTCCCACAGACCAAAAATATACATGTTAGTCTGATTGGTAACTTTAAATTGTCCCTATAGGTGAGAGTGAATGGTTGTTTGTCTCTAAGTGTCCCTGTGATGGACTGGAGACCTGTCCAGGGTGTCCCCCGAACCTCGCACAGTAAATGGTAAATACAGTAAATACTTATATAGTGCCTTTCTATCTAATCAAGATACTCAAAGCTCTTTACACTACAATCTGTGTCCTCATTTACCCATTCATACAGCACTCTACTAGATCTATACAAAGCTAATTGAACAAATCATTCTAAAGAGACTAATCAATGCTTTAGATCACATTCATACACTGATGGGACACACATCAGAGGAGATGAGGGGTTCAGCGTTTTGCCCATGGACACTTCGGCATGTGATTGCTGGTGGATTCGAACCCCCAACTCTTGCATTGGAGGACGACTGCGCTAACCATTTAGCCACAGCCGCCCAGTGACTGCTGGACATGGGCACCGGCGACCCCCGTGACCCAAAATGGAAGAAGCGGGTAAAAGATAATGGGTGGATTTGATCCCATCATATGTTGGTGATCGCAGCTCCCACACAACAAATTTCAGCTCAATATGTCTAAAAAGAGCTGAACTATAGACATTTAAAATTATATGTGGTGGCCAACTTGAATTTTTGATTAATGTTCAGAATCTGTTGAAGATTGTTGTCGGCTACTATTATACCAATTTTTAGTTTGTATGTTTAAAAACTGCTGAATTATAGCCAGGGTGGCAAGGTGGATCAGTGGTAGAGTTGTTGCCTCTCAGTGTGAAGGTTAGCCTCATCAGAAAGCATATTCTGATCATGACTGTAAATGACTTCCTGTGCTGTAAACACAAGCTCCATTTGACCACAGTATTTTGAGCTGTTTTAAGGAGGGCACTGCATTTCATGCCAACAGTTTGAACAAAAACCTTAAAAAAATGTAATGACTGAAAAATGATCTCTCAAAAGGTAGTCGTCAGAGACTCAGTTCCTGCTATAATGGTGACGTGCAGTTGTTCCTGTGTGGCTGGAACTGCTATGTGCAACCATACAGTGGCTCTGCTGTTCCAGACAGCCCACTTCTCCCAGTTCAGGGTGCCAGTGGTTCCTCCTGTTAACAGCTGAAGCAGAACATCAGTGGCACAAACCCCAAACTGCTGTAGGTTTTAATGTTGTGCACATGCATGACATGTTTCATTCAGAAGACAGCGCCACAGCCAGACACAGATAAGCTAATTGTACAGCAGGTCTTCAAGGAGTTCCCACACATCTGCCAGAATTAAGCACATCAGTATTATACACAGTAGTTTTGCAGTACTTAGGAAATGACAGTGAAACTAACTGTGCTGCATCGCTGCCATACAACAGAGGCTTTGATTAGAAATGTGTTTTTATGAACTGATCACAGAGTTGTTCAGTTATAATCTTGTGTTCCTGCTGAAAATCAAAAGGAATGAGAATAAATAAAGCGCAATGGATGATCCACTGGGTCTGCAACCTGCGGCTCTGGGGCCACATGTGGCTCTTTGGTCCCTCTGCAGCGGCTCTTTCAGGCTTTGACCAAAACTAAAATAAAACTAAATTTTATTTAAATTCTTGCCAACAATGAAAATGGCTAGTTTTAGCAGATTTCCTGTCATTTTCAAATTTGTGAATAATGGTACAAATACAAGGCGCAAAAGATGTAGACTACATCATGCTAGGAGTTTGTTAGCCACTTTGTTAAGTCGACTTCCAGTATCTCAGCGAGACCTTTCTCTCAAAACCACCAGAATGTTTTGGAATATCTCTAAGACAAGCTGCTGAGAAGGAATATGAGTAACTTTGATAACACTAAGAATAAAACAAAACGCAAAGTCAAAGTAAACTAAAGTATTTTACTTTTAAAATGTAACTGGATATCCAACAAACTGGCCTAATTTTATACTTATACTATCTTTATGCTTTAATTAGGAAACTTAATTCTTCAACAATTAAGAACTCCTGCAGAGTTCAGCATTTTAATTTTTATAAAATTGTTAAAAATTGTGTATTTTTTTCTTTATTTTATGAAACTGATCTTTTCTTTTGTATTAAAATGTAAAAAAAATCAATAAATGTTAATAATAGTTAGACTTTTTTATTTTATATCACCCCCACTGGATGGAAAAACCATCTCCAACAAACTTGTAGTGGCCCATGAGCCACCAGTTGACAGTACACTGTTGTAGCAGGTTTTGCGGCTCCAGACACATCACAATTATTAAGCAAAGTGTCAAAAATGGCTCTTTTTATCAGAAAGGTTGCAGACCCCTGAACTATGAGAAGGTGCTGCTAAGACTGAGTTTGTTGCAGCTCCTCAGACTGAAGAAGACTTTTGGAGAAAAGACGAAACGTTTCAACAAAGAAGAATCCGTCCAGAGGACCTGACTCAACCTTGTTACCAGATTTGTGTTTATGTGTTTATGTCAATATTAATTTTTCTCTTTACGTTGTGTGTGAGCAGAGAACAACTTGATGATCGGCATCATGTGCAGCGATGCTACGGCTCTAACACCTGCTTCAGTTCAGAAATCACCATTTAATTTAATCAGGTGTGTTGAAGCAGAGAAACAGCTAGAAAATGTAGAATAATGTCCCTCAAGGACCAGGACTGGACACCACACCCATGGACTCAATAAAGTGTCTTAGTGATTTTTTCAAATTTATTTAATAAATGAAGAAATAAAAGGAATTTAGGTATATGAGCACACTGAGGGAGCCAAGTCTTCTGAACTGAAAGTGTTTTACTGATAAACAATTTGTATTTTACATTTAGATACACATTTTACAGATACGTCTTGGACGTTTTGTGTAATATTTTACATTTATTAATCTTACACATTGAAAATAGTTACTGAAGTCATTTTCTCTGAACTGTATCATGAGTGATAAATTTAAAATTCGTGCACCATAAATCTTTGTTGAGACATTGTATGGATGAATTTTTGAGTGTGTGTGTGTGTGTGTGTGTGTGTGTGTGTGTGTGTGTGTGTGT